TGCACACGACGGCGCGCATGGAAAAGCGGGTACCAGCTCCGATACCAATGCAATCAGACTCGTTCTCATTCACACTTTTCATGCATGTAAACAGCAGCACAGCCAACTGGTGACATGCGTGCACTCGAAACTCAGAGATATGGCTTCCAGATACGAGTTCACTTTCAATTGGCTATGGCGACTCTGCGCCCAAACAACTCACTGTTTACACACACACCGGATCACCCTGGATATCCCACACGCGTCACTCTGAACACTCGAACACACACACACACACACTTCCCACTAAACTACAGCTATGGCAGCTATGGCTGCCTCTACCCTATCGCTATGCTAACTCCTCCTCTCTCGACCACTGCGTCCTCCGGGCTCACTGCAGACCTCCTTGCACTAGTCGCTGTGGCAGCGCTTCCGCATGGCTCACGCAGGAATGAATGAATGGCTGGGCGCTGCCTCTTGATTTATACTTCGGAAACTGGTTGGTCTGCCCTTTGCCATCGGCCCATGGTGCTCACAGTCCCCCGTGGTACTTGCTGGACCGGACTGGGACTGACTGGACCTTACCGCTGACTGACTGTGGATTCACTGCTAACCTACCGTAGTCGCACTGCAATTGCACTGCAGTTTAGTCCACCACTTGACTCGCCACTTGACCACTTGCCGACCTTCTAGAAGGACTACAGCTAGACTTCTGGAACTCGCTAAGACTTCTCTATAGATCTACAGATCGAACCCCTGCTACCTACGGACCTATGACAGACCTACCAACTGTCACGAATACACAGGTCACAGGTTCAACTCTCGGGGTCTACACAGATACTGTACATGGGTAGGGCGAGGTCTAGGGATCGAACCCTGGGTACTGCATCTGCTACTGCTAAAAGGTGAAAACCGTTTCATCTGTGGCCACTGGGGTGGTCCCACCGCCGAAGTTGAGTTTTCTCAACGCTGAGCTTTCTGTCACGTGTGGCATGGTGGGACGGAGCTCTGCCGTCGATATATTGAGAATCTCAGGGTACCGAAATACAGCAGAATAACCCATTAGATTTGGCCGTTTTGTACATTTTTTCTTTGACGTGACATGCGTTTTGTCGTATGCTTTGGCCCTTTCCGTTTGGGCAGGAAACCATTTTAAGTTTACAAAACTACCCTACCCCGCCCAGGGTTGATTTCTCAACTTATGGGCCACGCTGCTCTACTCTCGACATGCACAAAAAACAAAAATCATGGCCATGTATCTTTGCATATTCTGGCGGAAGATTCACTCTCGTTTTGCGCATTTCGAGAGTAGTGCAGCGAGGCCCTATGTGCCTTTCTTTGTTTTGTTTTTTCAGACACCATTACACCCTGAAACAGAGGAACTCTGACAGCTGTGTTTGGCTCTCTCGCACCAGACTCTCTTCCTTCTTTGAGCAATGAACGCATCTGGCCATACATGTTGTCCCTGTCCATTTTACAAATGGTGACCTGGTGTCCCCTCACCATGGGAAGTATCCTTTTTCCACGGAGACATTCACTCCGACTGTGCCAGACGTGTTTCATTTCTCTGAGTTACGTAATAAAAAATAAGGAGAAAAGCTGTTTCTAGCGTTTTTTTTCAGTCTTTTTATTTCTTGTTTCGATCGAATTTATTAATGTCAAAATGGTGTTGCACGGTTGCGTTTTCTAAACTTAAACTTGGGCGGTGGGACTTCACCCCTGAAAGCAGCTCAAATCCAGGCTCATTTTTCCCTCGTGTGTTTTCTGCTGGGTGAGGGGGAAGGGGGGTATAACGGGGTTTGATCATCAAGCTTTGAAAGGGATTGATCATTGAAGTAGTTGAAACTTGAAAGGGGCTTCCTTCTCTGGACGTTTTTCGATTCCATAAGGAATTCTGAGCTGATCCTCGCCGGAGGTTGTTTGTATTGCAGTTCTGCACAACATGTCTGGCGGAAAATATCCATTTTTTTTAATCTTGTTTTGATTTGGTGATGGGTTTGCTCAGGAGCCGGCTGAGCAGTCCACACAGCCTAAGTAGCCAGTGCAGAGGCTCCTACAGGCCGGCTTTTCTCGGTTTTCAAATCCATGTTAGTACAAAATAAAAAATGTTTAAAATCGGAACGATACAGAGAAGATTAGCATGCCCCCCCCTGCAAAAAAAAACAGGTTAAGCAGGTACTTTGCGACATCCGCTAAAATTGGAGCGATATCGAGAGGATTAGCATGGCCCCTGCCCAAGGATGACACACATAAATCGAGAAATGGTCCAAATTAAAGGGAGAAAAAAGGAGCAGAAAATGCTAAGATACTTTTCCCTGCACCTGCATTGCCTCTGGCTACCGAAATACCTGGTGGGCAAGGTCTCAGCCTGATAACGCCCAGCCCCAGAGCCAGATCAACAAGTTTGAAAGATTTTGAAGAGCCCAAAAAAAGTGGAAGACTTCAAAGAACTTTTGGCAAAGGGGCACCTCAGAAGTGGTTGTTTGAAGTGAAGATAGAAAAGAAAATTTAAAATTCAAGCGAAGTAGCACCCCTTCAACCTCTTGAAAACACCCCGCTTCCTCTCCTTCGCCCCCCCCCCCCAAAAAATAAAAAAATAAAAAAATAAAAAAATAAATAAATTGTAAATGAAAAAGAGGCCTCGATTTGAGCCGTCTTCAGTGGGCACAGAAACGCCCCATCAACAGAAAAAAGTGAAATGAAATCTCCAGACCTCAGCATGCCTGGGGAGATTCCTCAGGTGAGTTTACTGGCTGCCCGCCACACGTGACAGGGAACCTTGAAAACAGTCTAAAAAGAATATGTGAAGGAAAAAGAAACCCTCCCTGATCCCTCTGTTCCCTGACGCACAGCATTTGTGAGAGGACATGCCCCACTTCCTAGCCAATAAGGTTATTTTATGAATTTCTGCTAGTTGAGGAAGAGCACCACTTTGAAATAACAATGTTGTATTTTTACTATAACCCTAGGCTACCAGTCGGGCCGCCCGGGTCACCCTATTTTCCCGGGCGGTGCGGCCGTGCAAGGACCAGGGAAGGTCCCAGCCAAAAAAAAAAAAAAAAATCCCAAAAATCCGAAAAAAAAAACTATGTTATGCAGAAAAATAAACTGAACAACTTTTTTTTTTTTTTTTTTTTTTYTWTWTTYTTYTCTCAACTTYTKTTTYTTTTACCTTCCACTACCAAGGGGCAACTTGAAATCTCCCCTTCACAGAGAGAGGAAACTATGCTTGCAGAAACTGAACAACTTTTGCCTCAGGGTTGCATCGAAATTCTTTACCAAATTTAAAATAAAAATTTAAATTAAAGAATAGTTTTAATTTTTTAATTTTTTAGTTTTTTAATTTATTTTTGGCCCGGCCGGGCAAGTGGACCCGGGCATTTCTGGTAGCCTAGCTATAACCACTTTTTTCACGCATCTTACCATAATTCTTTGAAAGCGAGGCCTTCGCGGCGACCTATTTAATTTCATTTGGTGATCACGGGGGGCATGCAACCCGTGCTGTTGGGCCGGCGGAAACATCCAGGAGGCATGCAGCGTTGACCTGTCTGGGAGTTTTATGCATTTGAGATTGAACGCTGATGGAGAGCTGTATGACGGGAAACTGTCACGTAGGGTTTGGAGGGCAGAGACTCACCTCTGACCCCTACCCATTTTAGGTTTTGCTTTAACTGAAGCTATTGCTTTATTCGCCTTAATGATGGCTTTCTTAATTTTATGGGTGACTGCGACACTACCAAATGAATTGCTCCTTTGCACTGTTTGTTCTCTCGGGCGTGATAGTGAAGGAGACACTGCGGTAGTCCGCAGCGAGATGGACACAACTTATTTCATTTATTCACCTGTGTGGTTGGAGACACCCAAATTGACGAACTCAAGATGGGGACCACCGCCTGTCGTGAAAGGGGGTCACTGGGAAGGACCAACCCTTGGTCAACCCCCACCCATGTCTACGAGACGCAGTTGAGCGGGTTTGTGAACGTGAGGTGCGGGTAGGATTAGGAACTAGACACGTTCGGTCAGGAAAGAGAGTGTTTCCCTATGTATTGCGTTGAATAAGAGCGCACATACCATTACTGTCAAGAATAAGCAAATGGAAAATGATAAATGATGTACATCTTCTTGAGTATAACATAAAATAAGAAGGTCGTAGTAATTCAAGATAAATGTTGGTATGTGTTATCATATTATTGCTTACTAGGTTTCATAAAGTAATTGATACAAAAAATAGGATAGCAAGGAAAAACACAAGAGTAGATATCCCATGAACAAAGTCATAGCTTTGTCCTCAGTTTGATATGAAGTACAAAAAGGAACTAAGATTATTAAAGGTAATAAAGTAGGCAATGTGGTAAAAAAAGAAACTCTTTTTTCGAGAGCCTGTAGATCTCAATCCAAGAGTCGAACAAGAATGAATACCACATATAAGAGTAAAAACTAGACTTCCTACAGTAACTACTACAGTCAAACAATTGACTTTTGAATATTGAAAATGATATAGCAATTGTAAAGCAGGAAAACTCAACAGAATAGCCATGATTTTGAGTAACCAGTGACTTAGTAATTGAGAATGTCATCAATTTGGCTAAGTGGGGTACTATTTTTTGTGTGCTGAACTGTTTGTTGTGTGCGCATGTGTGTGTGTGTGTGTGTGTGTGTGTGTGTGTGTGTGTGTGTGTGTGTGTGTGTTACTGTTGTCTTTTTTCACTTGATGGGTTTCTGCATTCATTTCCTGGCTTTTGCTAGCGCCTCCGGGTGCAGGGCAAATACTTCACTCTGTATGACTGCGTCCCGCGAATTGCACATCTATGAGCATCCATGTTCGGCTACCACCCCTATGAGTGTTTGTCTACATGTTTCGCATATGCCTGCGTGCCAGCCCACAGCTCATTGCATGATGGTGCCTGCTTGCTGAGTGGGGTTGTGTTCTTGGCATGTGGATACTCTCTCCCTGTCTCTCTGTGGTTGTGTTGAGGTTTTGGGCATCTGAATAATTCAAACCATTTGCAATGGGAGTGAAGGCAGTAGCCATGGAGTTGTCGGAACTCAACAGGGTCATGAAAAAGATAGACTGCCAAGTGCATCTCATAGATGTGCACACGCTTTTCAAGCCATACATCTTGAAGTCAATCACAGACACGAAGCCGAGATTGATAGAGTAAGTGCGGAGTCCGTCATACTTGAAAATCTCCTTTCGCCTTCAGTACCGATGCAACAGATGAAAGTAAATAGTAAATACTAATTTAATTCTATGGAGTAAACATTAAATAGCGAATGCGAATAATTCGTTTGATCAAGTGCAGAACCATGCGTACAGATCTACTGAATACGCATAAATTTGTAAAAAAAGTTAAAAAAACTATGGTCGGTGACAAATTTGCTTGTGTCACCCGTGCAGCCATTGACTCTTATCTGATTCTTTCAAAGTTCAAACAGCAATGTGTGGAAGCGGAGGATCCATGAATATAGAAGTTTTCTTAGTTTTGTTACGGGACTGCTGTATGGACTTGCCAATTTTTGCCATCTGTGGAGCACTGTGTTGATTGTTTGTTTGTTTGCTATTGAATGATAGTCTGGTAGTAATCATGATGCTCATGCGCGCTTGCATCTTTAAACCGCCAGTACGAGCCCCCTCCTCCTGAACTTCCGGTTGTATACAAGGTGGCTGTGCGTTTTAATGCACCGGACTTGGACGTTTAAACCGCCAGTACGACCCCCCTCCTCCAGAACGTCCCGTTGTATACAAGGTGGCTGTGCGTTTTAATGCCCCGGACTGCACCGTCCTCTTGTGCCTCTTTCTTGACCAGTCATAGATGGCTGAACACTCATTTGGACGGTACGTTGGGAAGCAATATGGCAAGTTGTCGACTGCACCGTCCTCTTATGTCATGCCTGTGTGTCCTGGCCATGCTCAGTAATGGAAAATCTGTGCAGCACACACATTCCTGCAGAAACAGGACACTGTGTGCCATCAGTTCTGTCTTAACCTGAAAAAATGTATGTACGTTGTATACGAAATATTACGAATACAACGTACGGGGTAAGCTGTATTCGAATACAACGTACGCACGTTATACAACGAGTTTTAGGGCACAACTTTGCAGGACCCAGTAGTACCACCGTCGTTTTCTTAAATTGTGTTGGGAATTTTGCCAAGACCCTCAGGCAGAAGTTGTTTGCATTGCACTTTTGTATAACATTTTTTTTTTTTTGGGAAGTTTTTGGATATTTTTGAAAAAGCGAAATTCTAAAGAAATCAGAAAACAGAATGTCCCTGCTGTAAAAAAACAAATAAAGAATATTTTTATTCCCGTTTTTACTTTTTTTTTTCCCCTTGAATTTGGTTGTGAATTTCGACATGACCCTCAGGCAAAAGTTGTTTGTATTGCAATACTGTACAACATTTTTTTTTTTCTTCCAGATATCCTTTTTTTTTTTGCCAATTGAAATTTCCAAGAATTCGAATACAACGTACGTACGTTGTATTCGACTGTACATTCTATTCGAAACAAAATTACTAATTAGCGATTTCTGGGGACCCGTTTTTCAGAGGTAAGTTGAATAGAACGTACGTACGTTTTTTTGGGGTTACGAGTCTTAAAAAATAATAATAATAATAATAATAATAATAATAATAATAAAAAAATAAAAAAATAAAATAAAAGAAAGAAACAGTAGGTGCTCGCATCACCAACAAGACACGGCATAGATCTTCCTACTTTCCATCTACAATAGGTCTAGTACATTTGAAAGCATCTTTGAGAAATTGTTGGGCCACTTTGCAGCGGTATGAATACCAAAGAGCACAATTTGGCACGGCACAAAACTTTCTTTTTTTTTTGTGCATGAGCTGTATAAGTGCCACTTCCGTGCGGGCTTGCCCTACCGAAACTGTTCGGCTGGCAGCATCAGCCAAAACAAAAGAAGTTTTTTGCCGTGCCGTTCTGTATTTTTCTTTTTGTTTCGGTGTGCCACACAATTTGTCTCTGGAAAAAGAGGCTTGGATTTAACGTCTGGCTGCGTCTACGCCCTCAAGCCTCGTCAGTATTTGGCAATGATCTCTTTCGTTATGATGGCTCGGATGCATTTCCAGTTGAAACTCTCTATTTGTTGACTCGTGAACTCCATCGTGAAAAATGTATTAAGTAAAGTTGACAAGGCGACAGATGACCACACAAGCAGTTTAGCCTGTGCACAAGTGGTTCAGCTGATTTGCAAGCCCCAGGGATATTTGCAGATCATGTTTGCCTTGCTGTGGACGTTGTAAGGCAGTTGTATGGAAACAGGCTTCTTCGGTAGCATGTGTGCTCTGACATGTGTCATCGACTTTGTGCTTCTTTTTTGACAGCTGGATTAGCTCAACCTTGTTCACTGAGAACTGGGAGCCGCTCAACCCTGACAGGAACGCGTTCTACTCCATTTCAATCATTGGTATGGTTAATGAATTGGATGATAATTCCCTAACTCCAGTTTTCCCCTTCCCCGCGCCCCCCCCCCCCCCCCCCCCGACATTATTGTATCCGACAGGATTTGAACTCACAATCTGAATGACAGTTACATTGTCTACCATTTAGGCACAGGGCAGGTTGCCCTAACATCCAATCTTCGTTTTCAAGAAAGCAAATGTCATTGCAGATATATTCTGTTACGCAAGGTCTCGTCCAGGTTTGAAGTTTGTCTTAGAATACCAAGCATGCACTTGGCCTGTGCTTGTCTTTGAATACGGGGATCGGGCAGCCCAGCCTGCGCAGGCCAGATGCCACTTGCCTGGGTAAGTTGGGCAGGCCAAAAATGTTGAAGAAAGAAAGAGTGGAAAAGAAAAAATTCCGATCTGAGGCCAGATCTGCACTTGGCGTGAGCAGTCACAATCCTGCCTTATCTTTGAATTTGGTCATGATGGACCGGGTAGGGGGGCGCGGTGTTGGGGGTGCAGATGCGGTTTAAAGGGGTTCAAACTTCAAAGGGGTTTAAACTTTAAAGATCGTTCTAGCTGGCACAGCCCGATGTCAGTGCTCACCCTCTCATCCAAATTCACCAGGCCAGATGACGTTTTCTGGGCATTTTGCTACTGGAGTCTTGAACGCTTTTCCTATAAAAAAAATGAACAATTAAAACGATCTGGAAAAACAGTATGTTGTAGAGGGCGGCAATACAAACAACCTTTTCACATCACCTCTGAATTGGTAACTCAACTGGAATTTTATACAGAAAAAAGGAGAACCAGCATAAATGACTTTCATGGGGAATCGCTTCTATTTGGATGATCTTTGCAAATCTCCTGACAAACGATAATAAACTATGACTCGCTCAAAACGGAATTTGGAACTACAAAATCAGAAGAGAGATGTCCAGAAGACGTGCAGAGACTAAGGGGATGTTGGGAGAAAGAGTGGCAGCACAAGCAATGGGGTGTCACATCCAAAGGTAATGGTCTGACTGATGGAGTGGGGGTGGTGTGCGGGTTGAGACCCTCCTGCTTCTACTCGTGAAAAGAAAAGAAGACATGCGTTTGTTTCTCCAGTCCCCCCCCAGCTCACTGCACGAAAAGAAAGAAACATACTTTTCTGTCTACGTGTCACAGTCTTCCTCCCTATTCCTCAAGCTCTAGCCATGGTGCTTGCAACCACCCAACCTATCAAGCCTGCCAATCGCCACACACCCTCCTAAATCCAACACCCCCACCCACGGACCAACTATTTACAAGGTTTCATGGAAGTATCCAGGAGTCTTTTTCTTCCTCCCTATTCCGCAAGCTCTAGCTATGGTGCTTGCAAGCACCCAACCTATCAAGCCTGCCAATTGCCACACACGCTCCTAAATCCAACACCCTTTTCTGCACCACTCAAGAAGCCAACTGCAGATGAAGTGTCCACTCAGCAGGGGAGCGCGGCTCCCAGGATGATGAAGAAGAACAGCAACTTGATGAAGATGAAGATCTGCCACGTCGAAGAAGAACCGCTGAAAGTGCAGCTTTGGTGGCAGCTGACCAAACCCCAACAAACACACAAATATGAGGAAGCGCTCATCAGCACTTGGGCGCCGAGCCCAGCGCTGTCACCAATGGAATGGGCCGGCCCCAGCTACGGCCGCCAGCGGCATGCGGAGAATATGCTCTGCATACATGCCCACAATAGCGCAGCAGGGAAGCAACACGACCTCCACCAAGACCGTGAAAACAAAAGCAACGAAAAGAACCAAAAGAACCCCAAACTCGTCGGCCTCTGCCTACTTCTACCCGACTTTCCTAGACCTACAACACAGTGGCCACCTACAGACCTATCTGACCCTCCAAACAGCAAACATCTATGACCAAACAGTCACGATCCACCTACATGCATCTACATGGAAACCCAAGGCTAGGACACACAAAAGAAAGACCTATGGGCCTACCAGTTGCCAGAAGGGCAGAAAAGGACAAGAAAGCAAGTTTAAAGGCCTAAGACTACGAAGTAGAGACTACTTGCGACATGTTCAAGGTTGAAGCCCAACGAGGCTTCTAAGACTGCCAAATAGAGACTAATAGCTACGGGTCTAAGGATCAAGCCTAGTAGGGCTCGAAGCTAACAAACCAAACATACAAATTACAGGTCGCGGGATGAAGTCCGCCAGGCCCAAACCAAGGAAACAGCAAACACAGTTAGTGTACAGTCCCACTGGGATACTGCGATTTATTCCAGTTTTACATACCACAATCTTCTAATATCAACACATGCTACTAAAGCTTAGTCGCCCTCGCCGTGACTCTGCACACCGAGCTGGTTCTTTTCTTTTGCGCTTTGGCCATACGATTTTGATCTTCGCGGCTGGTGTTGCCGGAAACCTGATTTCTTAACCGTTTTTCGAGCTCTGCTTTTGCTGCAGGACGCCTTTTTGGAGTGCTGTTGTGTCGACGCGTGTGTGCCCTCTTTTTGCTCTTCGCTTGTCTTTGCGTCGCGTTGCCGTTGTTGATATCTCCGCTATCTAGTGATTTCGTCGTGATTTGTAGGCGCGATGCATGTGCGGAGGAACGATGCTGTTTTTGGGGGGGTGCTTTCTTTATTGTGCTTTCATGTGGCTGTGTTCTTGGGCGAGGTTCGTTGTTTGTTTACAGTTTGGAATGGCGGGTTCGGCATCCTCTGCGGTTCGCTTAGTGTTTCGATGGGGGCCCGCTGGTGTGAGGGTGTTCTTTGTCTAGCTTCAGCCGCCCCTATGGGGGTCCTTCTGTTGGCCTGCATTTGGTCTGGTTTTGGGCCCAGGTGCATCTGACGTGTTTTCTGCTGGGCCGCTTTCCTTTGTCATGACACTGTGTCTGCCCTCGCTCGAGCTTGGATAGCTGGAAAAAAAAGGTCAGGAAAGTTGACGGGTGATCCGGCGGTTTTACCTGGTCGTCTTCCTGGTGAAGGTGTGTCTTCGTTGCGCTGCTCGCCAGCCGCCAAAATTTCAAATGAATCTGGATATGCAATCTGTCCCGGTGCATGCTCAGGTCCTTCCGTTGGGCTGCATTTAGTTTGGTTTTGGGCCCGGGTGGATCTGACGTGTTTTCTGCTGGGCTGCTTTCCTTTGTCATGACGCGGTGTCTGCCCTCACTCGAGCTTGGAGAGCTGCGAAAAAAAAAGTTGCAAAAGTTGACGGGTGGTCCGGCGGTTTTACCTGGTCGTCTTCCTGGTGAAGGTGCGTCTTCGTTGCGGTGCTCGCCATTGGCCAAAATTTCGAATGAATCTGGATATGCAATCCGTCCCGATACATGCTGGTTGCTGGCGGATGGCAAGTAGTGCAGCTAGGCCCTTGCTCGCTTTGTTTGCTTGGTGGTGAACTGTCAGCGCATGAGCATTTGTGTTGTCCGGTGTTTTCCTGACGGCGGGATTGTGATGACGACTTCCGGAAGGGCTTGCATCGGGCCTTCTTTGGGTTGGGGTGATTATGGGCCTCGCTTCCCTGCATAACATATTGCACGGATTTGGACTATTTGTGGGGCTGTTGCGTTGGACCTGTCGCGCGATGTATCTGGCTCATCTTCTGTGCCGGTGCCTGGTTATTGTCCTCTTCGTTGCTTGGGTTGGAATCGAATTCCCGATGACAGAAGTTGCGGTGAATACGGTAACTGTCGGCCCTACACAACTGACTCCACAGATGAGAGTGCTTAGGGCTGCGCCGACCAGTCGTGACACAGGGAGTATACTCCTGCCCTGGCTAAGAATTCAGATGCTCAACTGACATTTGCATTACCTCTGCTTCGAACAAGTGTATCAATAGCATGCCAGGCAGCTCCAGCGGATTCACCGGAATCCTTGCTCACACAAACGTGGCCTCCGGTAACTGGGTCAGACAGCAATCCAACGGTTCAACTCATTACCGGCATCTGTTCGGCTCGCGATTTGGTGGATCATCGTTGCCGTGGTCATGCTCTCCTCCGTATCGCCCCAGTGTTGAATGCTTCGTGATCATTACATCGTTCTATGCGTTGCTTTTTGTTGGGACTGGTCGACCAAAAATCTATTGTGGTTCTTTGACTGACGTTGGCTTCTGTGTCAGTCGACTTTTCGGAACTTTCATGGTTCCTCGTGCTCTCATTGGACTTCTGTAAGGACGCCTCCTGTGTACATTTTTGGGACCGCATTGCTGCGTTGTAACAGTTGGTCGCCAGGCTGATGTTATGTACCCGATTGAACTTCAATCCACAACGAATTCACACGCGTGTCATTTGCCATGCCTGTCCATCTATGTCAGCAAGTTTTTCCCTCGTCACGGTTACCTGAATAACCATTGCTCTCGCCGCACTTCGTACATATAAATAACTCGTACAAGCTTCTACCAATTTCACGATTTACAAATGGGTGCGGAACTTCCCGATCTGTACGCACGGGTGTCACATGAGATCACCATGCCATGTCGAATGGCTCTCTCGTGCGTTTTCGCCTCGTCGTCACTGCTTTTCCTTTGTTACGAGGTGTGTTTGACATCTCGCTTTGCTCCGCGTGATGTCCATCTCATGTGTTTCCTTTGTTACGAGCTGTGTTTGACATCTCGCTTTGCATCAGGTGTTTTCACCTAAACTGCTCTGGATATCCATCTGCATTTTCATGAAACTGGCAATACAACTTCTGTCTCCTCAACTTGCCCTAACACGCTTTCAACTCTCCCGATATTCCCACTTCCAAAACCAAGCCATCGTTTCTACCTCGCCTGACTTTCCCCATATACCTCACTGTGTCTGCCCTCCACCATAGAACCAACGACTTCTATGTATATAAATGATTTATATATACATATACAAATATGTTTTCTAACTTCATTTTTTGATCAAATTCACAGCTCGTATTTTAATCGATTGACAATTGACAAGCTGACACTATTCAAACCTCCTTCTCACCCTCCAATTGTTACAAACCATCATGTCCACCATGTAACCCTCAAAAAACGTCCATACAACTTCCTCTCCTGTTGGGAAGGTT